CTAACCTTCTGTTGTCTCCTGACCTTAAAAACTGAGAAGCAGCTCTAACCTGTAGCACACCCCAGTCCTACCAAGATCTAAGAGAACTCTCCATTCCCTTAGTCTGTTTTCTTCACTTTTTACTTTTAAACAAGGCCTAGTCCCACAATAATTACCGAAGGCATCAGGGAACTCTTGAGAAAAGTGCTCGGTTATAAAACTCACTTCCACTTGCCCCAGTCTCTCTTTATACATGTTTGTAAAAGTTATATACATGTCTGTTTGTGTAAATATTAGCACCATATGTATATATACACACACATGTATACGTATATGTGTGTATATGTGTATATATTATTTCCATTTAATGGAAAACAATCTCTTATTCACTGTCATAAAAATTTTCTGCGTTGCTAAAATGATACTGAGTTTTAGGTGGGAATAAATTATAACTGGTTTGTGCTTCTGAAGTCAACTAAATACATTGCAGGAAGGTAACTCTTACATCCCTAACACTTATGAAAATGGCAAAGCATAAAAGGAAGTTACAAAGGTAATAAATTATGATGCCTGTACTTTGGGACTTCCTTTCTTTTAAAAGGCATTTGTGCTGTCCAGAGGAGACATCTGAGAAGAAAGAAATTAGGCAAAGTTTTCGGCAGAATCAGGGCCCACAGGACAAGACCTGAATTTAGGATCGAAAAAGAAGGGGACAGACCCTTCAAACCTCCAGACATTGGGATGGGATCCTAAGGACTGTACTCTACGAGGAACAGTGAATGAAAAACAAGGTGAAGGACAAGGATTTAAACCCTGTTCTGATACATCTCAATCCTTCACTAAATTACTGTGGCCTCGAATTACAAAGGACCCTTAGCCTAAGTGCCAGCCAAAAGTATATTAAAATTCTCTCTCAGAAGAGATGTCTCTAAAAATTTCAAGTTACTTCTAATTTTTAAATACACAACGTTTAACCCTTGATCCAAGTGACTGGATACATAAGGAAGCAAAATAATGGACTGAAAATCAAGGGGTGTATTATACAGTAGAAACTCAAAAGCTCTAGGTGATAGAATATGAAATATTGATTTTAAAATATTAAAGAAAGTTTGGAAATTTTGGCAAGGAGCTAGAAATTATATATAAAAGAAGAAAAAATAAAATTTAGAATTGAAAAATATAAAAGCTCTTAAGAACCCAGTGGATGGGTTTAACAACAACTTAGTCATATGTGAATAGAGGATTGGAGCACTAGAAGATATAGGAAAACATTCAGAAAACACTCTAAACTACAAATACATAAAAGCAGGCAAAATACAGAAAAAGTTGTGAAAAGCCTATAGAATACAACATAAATGTCTAATATATATGTAATTGGAGTCACCAAAGGCGAAAAGAAAATGGGAGCAGAAAAAAATACTTGGAAAATAATTGTTGAAAGATTTCAAAATTAACGAAAAACCCCAGATTATAAAAGCATTACAGACATTAATCCAGACAAACATAAAGAGAAAATAATCTGTTCAAATAAAGAGAAAGATCTTGACATCAGTGAGAAAAAGAAAAGATAGATTATCTTTTTAAAAATGACCTTTAAAAGAAAAAGCTGGTAGATAAATGATTATTATAAAAAGTACCCTCCGAAATAGTGGCCATTTATACTTTCGTTCTCAGCAAAATGACACTTCAAAAAGAAGGTGGAAACATATTTTCAGACATAATAAACTGGTGATTTAGTTCTATATTAGAGGAAGTGATAAACATGTTCTGCATAAATACGGAAACAATACCAATAAGGAGACTGTGAATGCTCAAAGAATGAGGACTGGGAGTGTTGCTCAGGGGTAGAGTGCATGCTTAGCATGTGCAAAAATGTGTGCTTGGACTGGTTGGTGATGAGTATCCTCCATCTCCCCATATTTAGATCCCGTACAGTAGTAGTATTAGAATATTTTATACTTTCAGTATTTATACTTACCTACATTTTTACCATTTCTGTTCTTTGTACTTCATGTATTTTTTCCTTTTTTTGCTAAGCACTGTATCCCCAGCCACCATTTTTTGTGCACAAAATCTCCTATTTGGCATCATTTCCTGCTACATGAAGGATGTCTTTTATTATTTCATTTAGTACAGATCTAAATTACCTGTTTATTTTATTTTATTTATTTATTTATTTTGGTACCGGGGACTGAACTCAGGTCCTGGCGCTTGCAAGGCAGGCGGCAGAACCACTGATCTAAATCCCCGGCCCTACCTCTTTACGTTCTGACTGAATATTTTTATTTCACCTTTCTTTTGAAGGGTCTTTTTGCAGAGTTTAAGTGAAGTCTTTATCGTGCAAGGTAGAATAAAATGTCAAGAAATCATTTTATAATCTCCAGGGAACAAACTGAAAGAACAGTGAAAGCATTCGTAACTACTGTGTAAGCTAAGGTGGAAGTGGGATATATAATAATAAAACTAATCCAAAAGAAAATGAAGAGAAAGAAAAAGCAACATACCTAGGTGAAAAAAATAGAAAAAGTTAGGTAGTGTGTGTAAATCAAAAGGTAACAGAAATTACATTATAGAAAAATTAAATATCCCAATTAAAATGTAAAGATTTTCAGAATAGATATTAACACCAAACCTAAATATATGCTGAAAAACCAAAACAAACAAAACCTCCAGTGTAAGGTGGGTTAATCAGCTTTTTGTCCCTGACAAAACACTGAAATAATTTAGGAAAGACTTATTTTAGCTCACAGTTTCGGTCCATGTCAGTTGGTTCCATTGCTGTGGGTCTGAAAGGAAGCAGAACATCATGGTGGAAAGGTCTGATGGATCTGAGCGCCTCACCTCACGGAAGCCAGGAAGCAGAGAGAGAGGAAGGTGACGCAGTGGAGGCCTTCCTCCTCCTTTGGCTTTTGTTGCATCCCAGTCCACAGCCTACTGGGTGACGCCACCCACATTCAGAGCAAGTGTCCCCCGGGGTTTGCTGTCCCACATGCCAGTTATCTCTGGAAACTCACACACACACACACACACACACACACACACACACACATACACACAAGTGTGCTTTAAAGACGTTCTTACAAAAGCATTATTTTATGGATTTTTGTGTTTTTATAGAAAGAAGAGTGCTTTTTTCTTTATTAATATCTACCCATATTAAAATTATTTTGAAAAATATCTTTTACTTATTTCCTAGTCATTTCTCGACTCAATCAAATTGACAGTCAAGATGAATTGTCACACAAAGATACAAAAACATCCAAAACTTCTAGGAGAAAAAAAATCTTGCAATTATAAACTACAGAGGAATGTTTCATGGTGATGAAAGCTTTTATTTACGTGGAATGTGTAACAATACAAGATCTTTTAATGCAGAGACAAAACTAAAGGGAGAAATAGACAGACCCACAATCATAGTGGAAAGTCTTAACACTTCTCTCTCAGTAACTCAAACAACAAACAACAGGGGAAAAAGTATTAAGATTGTAGACTTTTAGAGCAAGAAGATTAACAAACTTAATTAAATTAAAATATACAATATACTAAAAACAAGATGAAAGACCACACATTCTTTTTAATTATAATTGAGCATTTTCCAAAATTATATGGTTGGCCATAAAGCAAAGTGAACGAATGCATTTTCAAAGCATTAAAACAATATAGAATATATTCTATGACTGCAGTAATAACAATAGGAGGCAGTAACAATGAAAGCATGCTTATTAGCTTCATCCTTTGGGAGTTAAACAGTACATTTCTAAATAATACATAGATTAAAGAAGAAATCATGATAGAAATTAGAGAATATTCCAGACTGAATTATAATAGACATATCAAGCCATTGTGAGATGCCGCTTAAGGCTTTAGAGGGAAAAGTGGTCTTTAAAAATACTGTTAAAAAAAGAAAGAACAAAACTCAATGATCTAAGCATCTATCTCCAGAAGTCAAAAAAGAGTCACAAATTTAAATGAAATAGTATGAAAAGGAGGGAAGAAGAACAAATACTCCTAAGTAGGAATAAAATGCACAAAAGAAAACAACTAAAATGTCCTTTAAGAAGGCTATTAAATGGGCAAATCCATGCTGTCGGGTTAAGGTAAAAGAAGTGAAGGCTTAAATAACCAATACTAGGAATAAAAATAGGGATATTTTTAAAAAATCCTAGAGATCATTAAAATAATATAAGGGGATACTTATGATAAATACAAATTTTAGATAAAGTGAAAAAAATTCTAGAAAAACAGAACATTCCAAAATGAGTGTATGAAGTGTAATAGCTATATCTGTTGTAGTAGCAAAACATTTAAATAAGTTGAATATATAATTAAAAACTTTCTACATACAAAACTCCAGGCCTAATTGTCTCTAAGAGTGGGTTCTGTCAAACACATAGGGGGCTGGGAATTGAGCTCAATGGCACCACACCTGCCGTGCAAGCACAAGATCCTGTATTCAATCCCCATTATGGAAAAAAAAGTACTTATGGAAGATATAAAATCAGTCTTTGATAAACTCTTCCAGAGAATAGAAAAAGAACAATTTGTAGTTATTTTTATAAAGCCAGAGTAACCTTATGCCAAAACCTGGAAAATATTAAAACATTATGAGACAAGAAAATGACAGCAAAATCTTTTTCATGAACGAAGTTCTCAAAATTCTGAACAAAAATATTTGCAAACCAAATCAAAGTTTGTAAGTATAACAAGTATGATACATAATGACCAAATGCAGCAATTACACTGTGCTAGTTAAGTGGAGAACTTAGGAGACTCAATAAGCTATACAGCACATAAAGCTTTAATAAGGGCAGAGGAAAAGTTATGTGGGCAGACACGAAAGAGGTCTCAGATTTCTAGATGCAGCTTCCAGAATCTTTCAGACTCATGGGATCTACATCCCCTTATGTCCATCGGTAAAGGTTTGTTCCCCAATTTGGGACTTGCTGTGGCCCTTTAAGGGGTGGGGCCCATTGTGAAGTCACTGGGTCATTGGAGGTGTGCCCTCAATGGGGATTGTGGGATACCAGTGTGTTGTTTCCTCTCTGTGCTTCCTGGCTCACACTGTGAACATTGACTTCCACTGGTGCTCTGCTTTTGTCATCTGTTAACTTTATCAGAGATCAAACAAATGGGCTGCTGAGTCTTGGATTTGGATCTCTAAATTGTGAGCTAATCTTTTCTCTTCATAAATTAATTACCTTGGGTATTGCGTTGTAGTAACATGAAGCTGACTGCTACAGTCCCCTTTGATCAACAACCAATATATAGGGGCAACCTTGATCTCAGAAATGCCAAAGCACAAATTGACTGAAGGGTTTTCTCATCCCCCTGGTCACATACCTAAAATTAGTCTGTGTGACTAGATAAGCCAGTTGCAAACCATCAATATACATATTTAGAAGAAATAATATAGGTGAGATAGTGTAAGTTGCTTCCAGGTAGTATTGGACTTTAAACAGCATGTTGCAAGTCACAAGTGAGTACATTTCTTCCACCTCTTAGTCAAGGATTGGTACCAGATTTCCTCTGTTCCCTGGAGATAAGCATAGAGCTAGCATTGACTACTTGCATCTTAACTCGGATATCATGTACCACCTTGTTATTCCAAGAATGCAAGGTTGGCTTAGCGTTCAAATATCAATCATTACCCTAAGTAGGAAAATCACAACATTATCTTAATGCCAGCAACAAAAACATGTGATAAAATCAAACACTCATTCGTATATATTAAAACCTTGCCAATATGGAAAGGGAAGATTTCCTTAATTTGATAAAAGCTGTCTGTGAAAAATCTGCGGAGAACATTGCTGTAAAATATGCACAGTTCCCTCTGTGACTGCAGAAGCAAGCCTCAGTGTGCTATTGACGCTTCTGTTCAAGCATTTGTGTTAGATGTTCTAGCTGAAGTAGGGAAGCAAAGGAAAACAATGTGTACAGCTGGAAAAGAAACAAAACTCTTTTTGAAGATGGTATGATTATGTATGTAAAAAATCACTGAAATGTCCATGTTCATGAGTTTTTGGTTTAGCTATGTGTAAGGGATATTAATTATGAATAGGAAGAAAAGCAGGATTTCTCTAAATATCCACTAGTATGAATTAGTGTTTAATTTCAAAGCCATGTTATATATTCTAAAACCAAATACAAAAGAAAAGAAGAAAGCAATGCTTAGAAATTATAAAACATTAAGCAATAATAAAAGTAATTGTAGTATCAGTTTGATGACCCTAACCACAGAGAGAACATAATGAATTCAAGTGATGTCACAACTTAATGTTTCAGGTGTACATTCTTAGTGGAATATATTCTGAAGATAGAAAGACTTTTAAAATTCTATATTTTGCTCAGTAATCATGTCATTAATATAAATGTGTATGTTTTTATTTTGATACATATAGGTGTGTCTATATAAATGATAAGAAAATGAATAATTATGTTAATGGTGTTATGAACCAAGATTTTTAGTATGAGATAAAAAATACAGAAACTCAAAAACATTTAAAAATCTTGTGATGATTAATTTGATTGAGAGATGGCACAAACTCATTTTATTTACTTTTTAAAAAATAGATTTTCTAGCTTTGTACATTGAAAAGTCTGTAAAGTCTGATGACAGCAAGTATATCGAGGGCCCACATTGTGGCCTCTAAACACCAAAAGGTATCAAAACTCTTTAGATAACTCCTTTTAGGGCTGGGACAAGAAATTCACAACTATGGGATAGCTTGTGCCTGAAAGCAAAGGAGATGTGAAAGATTCACTTAGAAGCAGTGTATGCCCCTTGACACCATGTGGTTACAAAGAAAATGGTATTTACTGTACATGCAGTGGAGTACTACTCTGCCACAAAGAAGTATAAACTTAAGCCCTTTGTAGGAAATTGGATGCACCTTGAGCATGAAATCTTAAATCAGACACACAAACTTAAACATTGTGTAATTTCTCTTATATTAGGAGCCTAAAATAAAAATAATTGTGGAACAAAATAAAAGATAATAAGAAACAGGGAGATAGATCTTTTGCAAAAGGGAAGAGGATCAAGAGATGGAGGGGAGAGGGGATTTTAAAAAGATTTAAGATGTATTATGTGCATGTACCGTTTCCTCACTGTGAATATAATATGTATTACAGATGTGCTAATAGTGTTTTTTAAATTGCTATAATTGAATATTGGATGCAAAGAATATACTGATTCTCTTGGTTCATTTTCTTAGTGGTAATATATCTGTAATTTTAATTTTTATAAAAATAATTGAAATCATTGATAAGTTTGCAATATTGAACCTATCTACAAATAATGTGTGTAGTCTTACTTTCTGGTCTTCTTTTATATCTGTAAATGGGTCTTTTTCAATATTGTACATTTCTTTTTCCTATAAATAGGCTTTTTTTATATAATTATTGATAATGTATGGGAATTCATTATTTCCATATGTTGCTTTTATCTGGCCACCTTGAAAACTCTACACAATGATTGTACATAACCCATATATTCATCAATTGCTGTTATGACTTTGTCTGCGTGTCCTCACAAAGCCTCATGCAGTCATAGGTGGGTTTTTTTCAGAGGTGACTGGATTTAGAGTGTGATGCTGGGCTCAAGGGCACTGGGATTAAGGGTGTGAGTGCTATCTGCCCTAAGTATTCTGGATAAAAGATATAAGGGATAGAAAGAGCTGTGGTTGTCCCTTGCTCGTTTTGCTGCTTTCTGCCCACCATGAACTGTTTCTCTGTGACATACTGTGTGCCATCCACCCTACGTCAATTATGGACTCAAACTTCCACAAACTGTGAACTAAATAAACCTTTCTGCCTTTAACTTTGGATGTTGGGTACTCTCCTAGCACTGAAAAAGTAATTAAGACAATAGGAGAATGATTGAGGAAGCAAGTAAACATCACAAAACCAAGTTGCAAAATAGTATTATATAATGAGCATGTACAATCACTACTATATGCTGATGTGTATATACATAATTAATTCATCGACTCCGGAAAAGTGCACCTTAATATGGACGGTGATTATTGTGTGGGTAGGGAGTAAGGGGATTTTCACTTTCTTATTATATATATTTTATCTGAATGTTTCTAAAATACAAGTTTATGCATTGCTTTTAAAATTTAAGACCATTTTTAATGTGAAAAAAAAGAAGCTGGGAAATAGACAAGTTGGTACAGATTGACCTGGAGGAGGCTCCAGGGAGATGAAAGGCCCTAGGAAATTCTCATGGGTCATTAATTTCTACAATATCTTTAAGACACTTCCATTTGGCTTTGGAAGATCTGTAACTCTACACACCCCATCAAGGGGTATTACCAGCACCTATTAGAGCAGAAAATGAAGATAAAATGTAACACACTTCCAGTGAAATCAGAGGGACACCCCATCCCCCGGGTTTTTGTGGCTCATGTGATTTCTATGCAAGGGACATGGAGTAGTAAAAGATCGAAATAAATTAGTCAGCTAAATGAATTGAATTATTTTCTCCTGACTCTCATTGCCAGCTGGAAATCAGATGAGGCCAAGCCTTATTTCCTAGGTCTCTCTCCTGTCTAGAGTTGCCCCGTGGATTCTGAAAGGGAATCCCTGTTGATTTTGCTGCACCAAGTGAGTTGAGTACCTTCTTTACCTGAAGCTGGGCTTCGCACAGGAGGTCTTTATGGAAAAAGCTTCTGATTGCCTAATGTCCCTATAATTGCCTAGGCAGTGTCCCTTGCAATGAGTTAGAATTGTATGTGAAGTTTTGATCAGTGGCTGGCCTGGACTTTTAGTTTTACAGCATATTAGATGGAGGTCTTTAGTGAGTACCTAGCAGTGTGTAGCTGCTCCTCTTGAACTGTAATGCAGGAATTGCCTGGGGTGCTGATTGAAGGGCTTCGGACAGATCCTTGAACTTGCGTTTTAAAGAAATTCCTGGGTCATTTGAGTGTGGTTGGTTTGGGAACCCCACAAAGCAGTGAGAGTGTACATATAACACCCGCTTCATAGTCCTCTTCTTTGCCCATTCCCAACCCTTGAAAGCTCCTGTAACATCTCATCTTTCCTTTTTGTTCTTCTATGGGCAAAACTACTTGGAAGTTTTATTATCTTATAAAAAGTGTGTGTGTACTTTCTAGCTTTTTAAAAAGCTGGCTACCTCAAGAGATTGTGTTTTGCAAAATTGCACCCCATTCCAATCCTGCCTTCCATGGAGGCTGGACCCCAAGAGGTTTTTTTTTTTTTTTTTTTTTTTTTTTC